TGTGTCTGAGACTTAGGAAACCAGCCTGTTATTTAGCACACCAGCATTCCCAAATAACCAACATGTCTATTTTTGTATAAACAGGTCAAAATAATTTCATGCACATCACTGTAAAGCCAGAACTCTAATCTACAACAGGATGTACTGACAGCATTCTTCCAGTGATCGCAACTGACTACGCTATAAAAGAAAACTACAAAGATAGTGCAATCAAAACAGTCCAATCTAGGACATACCTATAGAAACCCATTATAAGGGGACTGTAAGTTGCAACTACTGGCTGTCACGATGAGACCCCATTTTCGAGTCAGTGACCCACATAAAGTATGTGAAAACAAGTTCTGGCTTCACCGACTTTAGCTGCTGCAAGCTTGCTTCAGGTTGGTGCCTGAAGAATTGAAACCAGACAGCCAGGCAACTTGCATTTTCAAAACAAAGGTTAGTGATGGCAGACTTCAGATTTATCTCAGAAAATAGGTTGATCCATCTGAAACTCATTTCAATTTTGGCTAAATGCTGAATACAATGAAGCCGACAGATTATTCTCTCTCTCATGGATTATTACTGAAATATCTGCAACTCGGTTTCTGGGTCCGTGAACCTGCTGTGGCCATTAAAACATTTTTTTTTGTGTTTTTTTTTTTTAACTAAACTATATAGTTTAGTAAAAAGAGATATACCAATCCAAGAGCTGCCAGCTCATTAGGTGCTATCTAAAACTCAATACCATTTTTTAGTGGGCTGACCCTTTAAACATAAGGCTATCACGATCCAGAAAAACTCAAGATGAACATATTACAAAAAAAAAAAAAACCCCATGCACACTTGATTTTTGATCTAAGGAATATCAGGCAGATTGCCCGAATTTGATGAACGGTGTCTTCTTTCAACCTAACAATGTAACTTAATTACCATATGCCAACTTCAAGAAAAACCATACATGATCAGACGATCAACAGATATACAATGTTGCACATTAAAGTGACAGTAAACTCGGGGGATAAATCTTAATCTCGGGTTTAGTTTATTAATTTGTACTGAGATTGTAGTCCATCATTGGAGTAAGCTTGGAGCAGCACCAATTCAGAGATGATTTAAGGATCTACAGCTGAGTGAAACACCAATAAGATACATTTTTGTTAATAGTTATGTGATTGCATTTTTAAGATTTAACGCCTGAGTTTAGCGTCACTTTAATTAAATATTTGCTTTTTTAGAAGCTGAGCTTGACCTAGCCACTCCAATAGCTCAAGCCTCCTATCACATTAAGTGGACCTTTACCCCATTTGACTAAAAATCACATCAGCGTACAGCTCTGTACACCGATATGAAATCTTACATTCATTAAAACATATTTTTATTTTACTTACAATTTCTTTTTCCCCCACTTCCTGGTTCTATTTGGCCCAAATGATGTAATCGTGCCAAAGCGTTGCATCCTGGGAAGGTTACAACAGCAGAGCATTTCTGAGAAATGTCACGAGATCCACAGGGAAAAGCATTTTCCTCCCCTGAGATGATGTGCATGGTCACATGCCCTAGTCCCATATCATTAGTTCCAGGAAGTAAAGGGAGATATATTAATCTGCCCTTAGTAAACATGGCCACTGTCAGAAGAATGGGGACGAAAAAAAGAGAAATAAGGTATGCAAATAATACAAAGCCGGCAATTATCTAGAAGTATGGATTGCCATTACTAAACATTTCTAAAGGTGCCTTTGTTATTTAAGATATGGATAAAGTTCCACTTTAAAAAAAAGGACCTGAACAAGGAGGCAGTGTGAAGCATGGCAAAGGAAAATTCCAGATTTCATTACCATTTGGCAGCCTACATGTCTGGCTCTTCTAACAGCTTTCACATGTGGTTTACACCAATGATTATATATTTTTTGCCATATGCTATAAATAAATGCATCCAGGACAGACAGGTTGTGACAAGCAGATTAAAAGGAAAATCCCATGAGGCTAAACACTTGTCTGAGAAGCCTTTGATGGAAAGTGCCATTATCCAACTCCTAGGATGTGCACTTTTTCCACAGCAGTCACATCAGTCGTGACGCTTTACTGCCCCAGAACCACCTTTAAGAGAACAGATGTAAAGTCCATACAATACAGGTTTCACTAAGCACAAGCAAGTCCTACAATGCAACAACTGACACAGATATCAGAACTTAAAACACAGGCACAGAACATGTTTTGTTTCAAACAGTATCTGGTGTTTTGCCACAGTAATCATGTTAAAGGGGGAAAAAAAAAAAAAAAAAACACATTTCCACCTGATAATAAAATATAATTATTTTAATGAAAATAAGGAGAGAAAACGGAGCAGTGGGGAGAAATCATTCGTCGGTTGAGACATACAGCCTGAAATGCTGCAGTGTTCGCAAGTTCTAAAGATTTGAGGGATAAGGACATTTCAGCTGTAAAAGGAGACAGAATATGTATCAGGAGGGGCATCCTGGAGCTCACATCCTGCAGTCAGCAGCGCCTGCCAAGGTGGAATCCTGACTGCCATTCATCATGCAACACCGATACCTACCGCCTTTCTAGATTTCTCAGGCTGTGAAACTCAACCTACATACTTGGATCTGGTTTCTCAGCAATACATTAGAGTTCCTGCTCTTTTCATCAGCAAAGCTCACCTTTCTATAGATCATCCCTGTCGATTTTGGATTACAGTGTAGCATGCCGCATATATTCATCTTGAATGAACAACCGTTCTACTATCTAGTTTTAAAGGCCAAGACATTTACCAAGCAAATAATTCTAAAACAGAAGTCTATGTTGCCTATAGACACCAAACAGCCATTCTTATGGTGCTAGGCTGAAAAAGAAAGACATAACCTAAAAATCCATTATGTGCAATACTTGCTTTCCTCTCTGACACAGTTATATGGCATGCTGGTTTCAAAATTAATCAGCAGTTAACGGTGGACTCGCTGCATATTTTCACTTCACTGTTTCCAGGTCATGGTTAAGAAAAGCTGACGTATCAGCAATCTGAAAACTCACCAGCTTCTACATCCCTGGTGCCCAACCTGCGGCCCTTTGAAACATGTTGTGTGGTCCTTTGCAGACCCCACCTGTCAGTAGTGGAAGCATTGATTTGTAATGTCAGTGATCTCCAGCAGTCTCAGGTAGCATGTGCCTTCATTCTCTCACCACCCCTTGCTGCATTTCTGCAGCCTCTGATCACTTCCTCCTAGTATGTGTAACCTCTGCTCCCAGGGCAAGAAACCTCTGCTCCCAGGGCAAGAAACCTCTGCTCCCAGGGCAAGAAACCTCTGCTCCCAGGGCAAGAAACCTCTGCTCCCAGGGCAAGAAACCTCTGCTCCCAGGGCAAGAAACCTCTGCTCCCAGGGCAAGAAACCTCTGCTCCCAGGGCAAGAAACCTCTGCTCCCAGGGCAAGAAACCTCTGCTCCATCCACCATCTAGTTAAAATACAGTTGGGATAAAAAAAAATAAAAAATGTAACCAGGCCAAAAAAAAAAAAAACACATTAGATTTCAGAAAGTAAACAATTCCCAAAATATATTGGATCCAATAATCTTCAGTTGAAGCAGACCTGCGTCATAAAATACTCAAGCTGTGCAGCAGTTGAGCTGATCCCATTATATCCGAGGAGTCTAGCAGATGCATAGTGGTCTACCATGTCAGCGGTGACATCCCAGGTTGCCCCCCACATTCTTCCTGCTGTCAAACTTTCCAGCAACAAAGAGACACATCACAAGCGCAGAGTGCTGCGGTAGCCATGACAGATCTGTGAACAGACCTATAACGAAACGCAGGGACCAACAGATAATGTTCCATCCATCCCAATCCTCCATCATGTCTCATGAAACGGCACAACAATTCACCCCATGGAATGAAGGCCCCTCTGCCAAGCGACATTTTCATCTTTATCTGACAGCAACACAAGTACAAAGCCTGCAACGCCACCGATCAAGGTCCTTCGCACAGAACAGGAAAAACAGACTTCAATAATCCCATAGAACAGTACTCGAAATGCTTTCACAGGAACTTCTCCAAATAATTAACCAGCATTTGCTGACTGTGTTCCAGTGGTGCAGTGTGTGTGACTGACCCTGTCAAAGCACAACAATATGTACTGATCCTCAGACCCAAAATGTATCTCTAGACAAAACCTTTTTTCCCCCAGATCTGGATAGAGTGGGAAAGGGTTAGACCCTCTCTCAGGTTTTTATTGCCATTTGTGTTCCAATTGGGGTCATTCATTTCTTTATTTGCACTTGTGAACATTGTCACTGAGAAAAAGTACAGGAAAATCCACAATTTCAGAGATGTTCCCAGAACAAGCGGTGATGGGAAGACTTCTAACGGGTCACCTGTCTAAGAGGAACTCCCCTCACTTTGGCCCCTTTTACACCTCTGGTCCGATCGGTTCCGCCTGTCAATATTTAAGGTGGACGCGATAGGATGCCCAATGCTAGTGTATGGGCAGCCAGGTCTAAACGGATGTGCATTAGCTTACACCTAAGTTACTCTAGCCTGAGGCCAGGTCTTGAAAAACCAAAGGATCAGAATTCCATTTCAACGGATTTGATCAAGTCAGACTAATCTGAGTCAGGGGTAATCTGATGTAAACGGACACATTTCCATTAACATCCAACTCCCCATAAACCGACATGGGGTCTGGTCCAATTTTAGTTCTTGGAGGAAAAAACTGGACGGACATGGATGTTACAGCAATGAGATCCGATCCCTACTGCTCCAATCAGGAGAGGATCCATGAACTGAATGCTGATCAGCCTGCGTGAAAGGTGCCTTCAGGAGATTTCTTCTAACTTCCTGTTGCATCACTGGGACAGGAAGTGTAGACATTTCCCTTTTTTTTTTTTAAACTCTTCCCTACTCGATCCAAAGTCTTAGCTTCAGATGCACAGTTATGTTTTACAATATCAAAAATCGCTTCTCTTGTAGATACGGCAAGATTACATTACATACACATGTGAAAGTTTGCAGAAAGTTTCACACTCACCAGACGACACCAAATGCTCCATATCCGATGGGTCGATCAGGTTCGATATCCAGTTGTTGGGCATGATGAGCGTGCTGATGATGATGATGATGATGATGAGCCTTCACCGCTGCCGCCTGCACCTGAGCAGGTGCTGCTGCACGGGATGCACAGCAGCTGCGGAACCAGGGTGCAGGTGATGCTGTGGATGAAGATGGTGGTGATGGTGCAAGTGAGGGGGCAAGTGGGCCAGGTGGTGGTGGTGGTGATGATGGTGGTGGGCCCCGGCCGCCGCCGACGCGCCCCCATTGTACGCCGCCATCATTTTTGCATTGGCAGCCGTACCGCAAAGAGACATTCACAGAAATGCCCTTCGACGTATGGAACTCCAACAGCTCGGTGGGTCACCGGGCCATAAAGATCACTAGGACCGCTTACAAGTAGCTACCATCCTACACAAACGTTCTCCTCGGGTGCCTACGCCATG